ACCCTCCAACATTCATATGGCCTAACCCCAGTACCTATGAATGTGACCTTATTTGGAAATGGGGTTGTTGCAGATGAAGTCATTTAAGTGGAGGTCATTAGGATGGGCCCTAATCCAATATGGTTGTTGCCCTTATAAAAAGGGGAAATGTGGACACAGAGATAGGCACACAGGGAGAACACCATGTGGGGATGAAGGCAGAGATGGGGCGATGCTTCTACGACCCAAAGAACACCAAAGATTACCAGGAAACCACCAGGAGCAAGGAAAGAGGCATGGAACAGATTCTCCCTCACAGCCCCCAGGAGGAACCTACCCTGCCAACACCTTGATCTCAGACATCTGGTCTGCAGAACTATGAGACAATAAACAGCTGTTGTTTAATCTACCCAGCCCGTGGAACTTTGTTACGGCAGCTCTGGCAAACCAATACAGACTCATTCCAAATGGTTCTAGGATGGGCTCTTCCCCTTTCCTGCCCTGAAAGGAACATGAACAGTGAGCAAGGTTCGTATATGTGCTGTGGAGAGGAAAGAGGCGTTTCTAGACAAGAGTTAATGTGAGCAGAAGCAAGCACGTCAGCATGCTATTGTAATGGGGAGGGGAGGGGGAGTTAGGTAACAATGCTAACATTTCTCGGGCATCTCCTGTGTTAAATCCATAATGTCCACCTATCCTTAGAACACATGGGTTTGAAGTTAGTATTAATATCATGTCCATGCTACATATGAGAAAAATGTGGCTCAGAGAAGTTAAACAATGTGCCCAAGATTAGGTAAGTGGGGAAGCCAGGGTTTAAAGCCAGGATCACAATAGTTTGTTTTCAACTTTCCAAGCAAAAGTTAAATCTCGCCCTGATCTTCCATTTGGCCTGCAATCAACCCGTCAGGTGTTTAGCCTGGAGTTGGGCTGAGTTTCTTAGGACCAGCCTGACCTGAAGCAGTCCCTCCCTGTTAACCCCATTCCAAACACAGCCACTGGGTAGATACAGTGTTAAGCTAGCCAAACCAGAACAGAGGAGCTAGGGTCCGGGCCAAGTTCCTGATCCAAGTCTCTCCCACAGTGACTGGTGGCTACTGCTGTGTCCACCCAGGGTGCCTGCACACCAGCCAAAAGATTGAGCACAGCCACACTTACTCCCATCGAAAAGGATTGACTATGCAGGTGCCGAAGAAAGCCTGAAAACAAAACCGAACAATCCTTAAGACATTCAGATACAGAAAAAAGCGTTCAACAGCTCTTCACCCAAGCAACAGGCCTGGGGGGAAGCCAGCCTGTAGCTCCAGCTTTAGCTCAAAGCATGGGACTCAGCTATCTTGCCTGATCTCAGAGTTTTTATGATGAAACAGCATGTGTCACTCCAAAATCTGTGCTTATAAAGTCCTCCATGAGAACCCCCTTTTTGGTCCCTTGCAGCAGAGACCCCAAGTAGGTCAGTCTTGTACCCAGGCTCCTGTGGCTGGGGCATTGGAAATGCGGACATCTTCATTCTCATGAGCACTTACATATCATGCTATGTGCCAGGCATTCCCAGTGCTTTATGTCCTGACTCACTTCAGCCTCACACTTAATCCCGACTTGCCCTAAATCACACCAGTAAATGGTGGAATGAGGGTTTGAAAGCCAATGGTCCCGAGTTTGTGTTTTTAACCACCATTCCACACGGCCTTCTTAAAATAGGTAGAGAGGATCACCTTTTTACNAAGGGTTTGAAAGCCAATGGTTCCGAGTTTGTGTTTTTAACCACCTTTCCACACGGCCTTCTTAAAATAGGTAGAGAGGATCACCTTTTTACCAATTTAGCATTTACAATACCCTCACCATCAAAACCAGGCAACTACAAAGCCACTGTAATCAAAACAGGCTGGTACTGGCACAAGAACAGACATACAGATCAGAGGAACAGAAGTGAGAACCCAGAAATCGACCCAAGCCGTTATGCTCAATTAATATTTAACAAAGGAGGCAAGAACATACCACGGAGTAAAGACAGTCTCTCCAATAAATAGTGTTGGGAAAATTGGACAGGTACATAAAAAAAAAA